TCGACAATAGAGAAAGCTTTAGAATATGTACAGGAGGAATTAAACATTATGTATCTCCAACAGCGCAATGACTCCGTAAAAAGTCAACATTCTCCCAAGTTCATTCCACCATCCACAACACCTTCCATTCCTCAACATCAACATTTCCAAACTCCAGTACCTAATTGGCCAGTTCCTGTTGGGCAAAGACCTTACAGACCCCCACCTCAGCCGTTCAAATTTCCTCAACCCGTACCACACCAACAGCGCATGCCAACTAATACCCAGCGCATGTTCGGTGCACCCCCTCCTAACTACAACCAGCGTAGTAACGTGTTCCGATTACCACCCCGAAATAACCCTCAACAACCTCAGCCCATGAGTGGAGTCCAGCGTTTTATTCCCAAGGCTTTACCACACACAAAAATGTTGACAGGACATGACTGGAATAAATTTGGCAATCCGCCACCAACAAATTATTTTAAATCCCGCGAAATGAATACAAACGAATGCGCTGCGTATAGCGATTCATATTACGAGTGTAACCCTGAATACGAGTACGCATACTACACCGACTTTAACAATGCTTATGCCCCGGATTTCGCTTCTGATTTTTCTTATTATGACTCGACTGACGAAAACCAAGATAATAATTATTATATTCAAAATCAATCACAAGTAGAGTCTAAGCACTCCGATCAGGATTTTCAGGACGATTCGACTATAAAAAAACAAAAATAGAATTAAATCTTCAGACTCAAAGACAATTACCATATATACAAATAGCAAACCCCCCATTAAAATTTTTAATAGATACTGGCGCGAATCAATCTTTTATTAGCCCTGAAGCAGTAGGAAAATTTTTCAGCGATTTCCCACTTAATTTTGACCCGTTCGAAGTAACAAACATACACGCGACAAGTCGTAATAATTATTCTATAACGTTACCTTGTTTTTCTGAATTTAATGATTCCGATAAAGTGAAATTCTTTGTATATCGCTTTCATGACTATTTTGACGGCCTTATAGGTTTGGACTTATTAAGTAAATGGGAGGCCCGTATAGATTTAAAGGAAGGACAATTAATAACGCATTCAGCATGTAATCCCATAAAATTATATAACTCGCGTAATGTTAATTTATACGAAGATATAATACCTGCCAGCTCTTCGAAAATTATTAGAGTTCCGTTGGATACAAAGGATGGCGAAGCCTATATTACGGAACAGGTTCTATGTAATTGTACTATTCATGAATGTGTTACCACTGTCGTCAATAATCGCGGTTATATTGAGGTAGAGAACCCAACGCCAAACGACATAATATTTTCACTCGACCGACCAGCCCACGCGGAATTATTTAATATTGAGTGCACGCGTACCGAACAATTATCAGCACGCGCAAAAGACGTAGTTTCGCGATTACGTACAGACCACCTAAACGAGGAGGAAAAGGCTAATTTAGTAGCACTTTGCTCTCGTTACTCGGACGTTTTTTACATAGAGGGTGAAAGCGTCACTTTCACAAATAGAATAAAACATCGGATTCGAACCACGGATGAAGTACCAACACATACTAAAAGCTATCGTTATCCATTCATACATAGACAAGAAGTTAAGGACCAAATAAGCAAAATGTTAGATCAGGGTATTATAAGACCTTCCGAATCTGCATGGAGCTCACCCATCTGGGTTGTGCCAAAGAAAGTAGATGCTTCTGGCAAACAGAAGTGGCGTCTTGTAGTCGACTTTCGCAAATTAAACGAAAAGACACTGGACGATAAATACCCTATTCCGAACATTAGTGATGTTCTCGACAAATTAGGGAAGTGCCAATATTTTACCACCTTAGACTTAGCAAGCGGATTTTATCAGGTCGAAATGGACCCTCAGGACATAGCGAAAACCGCTTTTAATGTAGAGCATGGCCATTTCGAATTTCTTCGCATGCCAATGGGCCTGAAGAACAGTCCATCTACGTTCCAAAGAGTTATGGACAATGTCTTAAGGGGGCTACAAAATCATATATGCCTTGTATACCTAGATGACATAATTGTGTTCAGCACTTCGCTCCAAGAACATATGGTTAACCTAGACAAAGTATTTAGTAGACTTCGCGAGTCCAACTTTAAAATTCAAATGGACAAATCGGAGTTTCTCAAACATGAAACGGCTTATCTCGGTCATATTATCACCAGGGACGGTATTAAACCAAACCCCGATAAAATTTCGGCTGTACAAAAATACCCTATTCCAAAGAATCCAAAAGAAATTAAACAATTTTTAGGCCTTCTCGGTTATTACAGAAAGTTCATTCCGGATTTCGCCCGTATTACTAAACCATTAACTCAGTGTCTTAAGAAAGGCAAAAAGGTAACAATAGACAATAATTACGTTAACGCTTTCGAAAAATGTAAGTCTCTTTTGACAAACGACCCCATCTTGCAATATCCAGACTTTACTAAAGAGTTTAACCTAACGGCAGATGCTTCTAACTTTGCCATTGGTGCCGTACTGTCACAAGGTCCAATAGGATCCGACAAACCAGTCTGTTACGCTTCTCGTACGTTAAACGAAAGCGAAGTTAATTACAGTACAATCGAAAAAGAACTTCTCGCCATAGTCTGGGCTACGAAATACTTTAGACCATATTTGTTTGGACGTAAATTTAAAATTTTGACAGACCACAAACCATTGCAGTGGATGATGAATTTGAAAGAACCAAATTCTCGTCTCACAAGATGGCGACTTAGACTTAGCGAGTATGTCTTTACCGTAATCTATAAGAAAGGCAAAACTAACACCAATGCCGATGCTCTCTCACGTATAGAGATTCACAATGAAGACGTAATGATGTTAATGAACGAAATTGACGAACTAAACTCGTTAATAGGCAACCCAAGCGAAGGTATTGCAAACTCTTCGACTGAGACCGTACACACCAGTAACGAACACCCTATACTTGAAATTCCTATAACTGACGAACCACTCAATAAGTTTAATAGACAAATTCACTTGACTGTCGTTAGCGACGTTAAACGGAAAACCATCGTGACTAAACCCTTCGATACCCATACACGTGTTAGCATCCAACTATCGGAAAATAGTCTCGAAGAAGACCTCATAAACGCTGTAAAAGGGTATGTCAATCCGAAAATCAAAACAGCTCTCTTAATAAACCCACCTTTAGCATTATATAAAGTAATACCAATCTTACAGGATAAATTTAAAAGCTCTTCACTTAACCTTGTTCTAACTAAATCCGAGTTAGAGAATGTTAAGGAATATTTGAGACAGCAAGAAATTATTCGTCACTATCACGACGGTAAAACCAACCACCGTGGTATTAACGAGTGTTACTTAGCATTATCTCGCAAATACTATTGGCCAAAAATGAAAGACCATATCACAAAATTTATTAACGAATGTACCATCTGCGGACAGGCCAAATATGATAGAAACCCAGTAAGACCTCAATTTAATGTAGTACCACCTGCAACCAAACCCTTTGAGATAATTCACATGGACCTCTTTACAGTTCAAAGTGAAAAATATGTAACTTTTATAGACGTTTTTACAAAATACGGACAAGCTTACCATTTACGCGACGGAACCGCTATTAGTATATTACAGGCCCTTCTACAATATTGTACCCATCACGGTGTTCCCCTTACAATAATTACTGATAACGGAACAGAGTTCACTAACCAATTATTTTTAGAATTTACTAGACTCCATAAGATAAATCACCATCGGATTTTAGCCCATTCACCTAACGATAACGGTAATATTGAAAGGTTCCATTCGACCCTATTGGAACATATTAGAATTTTAAAATTACAACATAAGGACGAACCGATCATCAATCTCATGCCTTACGCAATAATAGCCTACAATAGCTCAATACACAGTTTTACTAGATGTCGACCATTTGACTTATTAACGGGACACTTTGACCATAGAGACTGTCTTGACATCGACATAACCCAGAAACTACTACAGCAGTATGTACAAACGCATAGAGATCAAATGAAAAAGGTGTACGAAATTATTAATAGCACGTCCCTAACCAATCGCACAGCCATTATAGAGAGTAGGAATAAGAACCGCGAATCGGAAATAGAATACGCGCCGCAGCAGCAAGTTTTTATTAAAAATCCATCTGCCGCCCGCCAGAAAACCGCACCACGTTATACTCAGGACATTGTATTAGCCGATTTACCCATTCATATATATATACATCTAAAAAACGTGGCCCAGTAGCAAAATCACGGCTCAAGCGTGTTCCTAAAGCAGTTAATTTGTTGCAGGATACTGCTAATAACGCTCCTTCAAAGGACTCAGACGACAGAGATAAAACTTGAAAGTCTATCAGACGGACCAGGACTACTACCGTATAAACTAGGACCCACGAAATTGACTACTCATTACCATACATTTTTACAGTACGTACAACTCGATGACATTGAAGATAATATCCACTCCCTACAGAATCAACTACTGACTTTCCAAAACCGACTGACTAACGATACTTATTTACTATACGAAATCCAAATAGATTATCTGTCTAACAAACTTGGCAAGGTGTTAAGTCATCTCAGAACCCTAAAGCCCAATAGAGCTAAAAGAGGTCTTATAGATAGTCTTGGTTCAGTTATAAAAAGCATAACGGGTAACTTAGATTATACAGACGCGTTAAGATATAACGAGGCAATTAAAACCTTTAAGGATAATCAACTGAGCGTTGCATCCGAATTCGATCAACATCTCAGCTTAAGTAAAGAATGGATGTCTAAGCATAGTAATGCAATTATAGAGATAGCGGAAAATCAAAGAAAAATTAATAAGACTTTGATACTTATATTAAATAGTGATGCATATAGGCAAACTAGTTTAATTAAATACGCTAAATTCGCGCAATTGTTAGAAATAATTAGTGATAATGTAGAGGACTTAATGCTAGAATTAATTTGAATAGAAAACACTTTAGCTTTTATTCGTGCATCTAGCACGCATCATTCTATGATAGATATAGATGTATTAGGTTCCATGTTAAGTAAGCTTAGAAGTATTTACAGCTCAGATCAAATATTAAATTTAGAACTCAGAGACTATTATGACGTAATAAAACCCGGCTCATATTACACGGAGAAACAAATCGTGTTCATCTTTAAATTTCCTATAACTTCTAGAGATAATTTTGATTTATATAAATTATCCATTGTCCCAAATAAAAATTCACAGGCCCTTATCCCAACCTATCCCTTCATGGCAACTAACGAGTTATCATTCGCGTACATAGAGACAGAATGTCCGAAGTTTAACCACTGGTATCTCTGTGAAGAACGCACTACCTATCAGATCCGAACACAACCCGATTGCATCCAAGAATTGATCACCAAGCAAGTCATACAAGAAGCCTGCAATCTTACTACTATTATCCTGTCAAAAGAAGCGATGGAAAAACTAGATGACCAGCATTATATCCTGTCCTTTCCACACTATACCAAGGTACAATTGTCTTGCGGAAGAAAAGAATTCACCATGCTACAAGGGAGTTATCTCATTACGATTCCAGCCAGCTGTCTTCTTAAAACTGCTGAGTTCACCATCGTCAACGACAATAATGAGATAAAAGGTCAACCTCTAAAGCTCACTGGACTACCTTTCAGATCTCCGGAACAAGCTACAGCATCTACCCGCATCCACCTAAACTCAATCTATCTCCAAGGATTACACAGCATCCAAGACAAAATTCTCATGCAATCACCAGTACAACTACGTGCCATAAGTGACACATTATACCATACGACAATTCCCTTTTATATCATATTATCGAGTGGAGGTATTCTTATCTTTGTACTGGCCACCCGTCGCTACATATCAAGATGCAGAAAGGAAACGAGCAAAGCAGCGCAATCACCAACATCTAATTCAGAAGATCATGGAAACCCCGAAATTCCGGCAACATTTTCCCTGAACATACTCAAATAGTTGCCGTTCTGAGGGTGGAGGAGTTACATACACCTATGATATGACGATCGCTGACTATGCACCTAGAACAGTTGCTATGTAACCCGACAGGAATGCAGGCGCAGCAATTCAAGCCACGTGCCGGATGTATAAAATATCACGTACTCAGTTACACGAAGCTCATTCTGTTAGATTAATTAGCTATAGTAACATAATTTGTAATTTTTATTTTAAATATATTTTATAAGTAAATTTGGTTTTTTTTCGAACCTCCGGCCGCAGCTAACGTAATTAGTTTTTTGTATTTAGTTACGCCTCCGCCGCAACAACTATAACATGTATAATAGAAATGAATGGGTGTTACCACACCAATCGAACGATCGTCGATCGAACATGGAATGGATTAGTCGACGTCGATCGATAGTTTCTCATACACCAATTGATCGATGGCATCGCTCGATGGTAGAATAGATTATTCGACGTCGATTGAGCTCCTTCATTGTTTGAGAATCCATCCCGCTCCACTGAACGATCCCTATTGTCCTCTTCTGAATAAATTGCAAAAGATACGGATGATGAGCCATCAACGAGTAATTGTTGATCGATGTCAATCGATGATTGAACGCTTATTTTTACAAAGTTTATAAACCGTATAAACACATTAATTTGGTTTTAAGCACACTTCATAAGTGGTCCTATACATAAATTTCATTCAGATCCAATGATAGCTAAAATCGACTTCTATTTTCCTTTGAATCCAATCATCTAAACTTGGCAATGTAGACTGGCAGTTTAGAATAGACGGCCATACGTGAGACGAGAAACGAATAACTTTCGCATGCTACTCCATCGTTAAGAGGTAACTCGTTGAATCTTATGAGCTTTAAAATACTACTGTAGCAGCATGAAAATATTAGCTTTGAAGTAGTAGTTTTCTAGAAATATTTGTACATAATATTCTGGAAGAGATTCGTATTTTGTTATTCCATGAATTTATTATTAAATCCGTAAACATATAAAAATATTAAAACACAAGGAATTTATTGTATAGTGGAATCGTTTCACAAGCATTTGTTGCACAAGGACAAACAACCAGAACTAATAACAATTTTTGTAAGAAATACAAATAATTATTTCATATGGAATTCAAATCCGCAATCCGCAGAACCGCAAACAAATAAAGCAATCAGCCACTGCACTACCGTATCATATGGAATGGTAATGTCCACCAAAAATATCCTTGACTGCGTCCGGTCCATCAGCACAATATCAGGCTTATTCGCAAGAATAGTTCTGTCTGTGATGATGGCCCGGTCTCAGTAGAGCCTGGTGTGGGCGTTTTCGAGCACGGCTTCCGGCAAGTACTTATAATAAGGCAGTTTCCGATCCACGAGACCTTATTTCAGAGCGAGCTCCTGGTGCAGAACTCTGGCTACCAGGTCGAGTCTGTGCAAATACTCAGAGTTAGAAAGCGCCGAACAACTGGAGATGACATACCTAAGTGACTCACCGGGATGGCGACAAGCTCGACAGATGTCGACGGTGCCATCTATTAGGATGTATCTCCGCGATAATTGTTGGCCTTAATAACCTGATCCTGTATTGCACAGTCAAAACTCTCGGTTTTCCTTAAGAGGTCACCAAAACGTATCCAATGGAGGGAGGCAACTGTGTCCACGAAAGGCTCATGAAGAGCCTTGTAGAACCCGTGGAGCTCCTTCTCCTTCCATACGGTTTCCCGATCGGAAATACATTGTATTGCTGGTTCTTACCATTGCTCGTTGACTAAGGATAGAGAGTTTAGCCCTTTCTCACAATAAATGACGTCCCTGTAGAATGAATTATCCGATTTCGTCAGGAAGTAATTACAGAGGCTGCACACTTCGCGATTATGCATGGTGAGATTGCTTAAATAGCCGCGCCCACCATGTTTCCGCGGCAAGTACAGCTTCATTAGTGACGATCTCGGATGATGCATCCTGTAGGACGTCATAACAGTGCAGATTTTTCTATCCAGAGTGTTCAGTTAGGTCTAAGTCCACCTGAGTATGCCAAAGGTATACATGAGAACAGGCGATAATTTCATTAAATTATTAATATTATTTCCATCTAACCGTTATCCCAAACAAAATCATACTTTTGAAAATGTCCAGTAAAACCTTAATGTATTTTAGTACCGAGAACTAAATTACAAAAAAAATACGTATTAATAATAGAATAGAATAGAATGATTTTTATTCAATATGGATTATTACATAATACTTATTGAAAGTCATTATTTTATTTACCACTGGTTCGGAAAATACCTCTGTCCTGGGAAGAACCAGCAAGAAACCCAGCGGGATTTTTTTTTAAACATAATTTCACTTAACAATAATTTTGATTATACAATTTTAAATGAATTTTCATAGAACCAGCATGGTGGCGATCACCTTATTCCCAGGGGTTATTTTCATTCATGTATTCCTTGATATTATAATAACCCTTTTTGTACAGTTTTTCTTTAATAAAACTTTTAAACTTGTTTATTGACAAACTTTGAACGTGTTCTGGGATTCTGTTGTAAAATAAGAAATACATTTTAATTTTCGAAGCCCAAAGTGCAAAATGAATCATTAAAAAATATATAAATTTCCTATTTCATTTATTTACAGAATAAGGGTGACAAACGAGCACACAGTCCACCTGATGGTAAGTAGTTGCAGTGGCCCATAGATATCCACATCTATCTTCGTTTGCGAATTAAAATACAGATGCATTGTCAGCTGTGAGGACTAAGATAGAATGACTCTTTTCCAGTAAAAAGGGTATCCGGTTCTCTACACTCACCATACGAAACATAGCAACATTAAGCTGCTATTTTACGCTGGTATTCTGTGAGAGCGTTGTCCTTCCCTAGTCGAACCAACCCATTCGTGCAACAACTATACTATTAATTTAGATGCAGCATGGCTCTACTACGTACGAAACGAAAAATCCTGTGAGTAATATCCCAAATTACAGATGAACAGAAACTTCTCCATCCAGACAAGTTTCTGTAAGATAAGTTTTTGTACAAATTCTTCCACTAAGTATTAATGAATTTTTCCCTGTAAGAAAATTTATTTATTCTGGCCTGATTTTGTAAACGTTGAAATAACTAAAACGATTTGCTAAGTATACGTATGTATACTTGGCAATCAATTTTAAGAGAAATGGGTCAAAACTCTTACATGCTAAGAGTTTTTGACCCATTTCTCTTCTCTAGTAACTGTACATACTTCATCCAATTGAAGCCTTTTATCAATACTTACTGATTAAAGATCCCAGAACGATAAATCACGTAGCTACAAAAATCAACGAATAAACACAAAATGATTGAATATTACAGACTAAAAAAGACATCAATAAAAAGTAGTAAACAAATATCTTTGCGTCGCTTCCAGCTTTGTTTTAAGAAGCTTTTGTAGAAAAAATAAACAGCTGGTAAATGGATTAATATTAAGGTTATTTATATATAAATAAATATATCAAGTAAAATATACATTATACGATGTTACATCATTTTCATATTTTTTTTATAAAACTGAAGTGACAAACGAAATTACAGTCCACTTAAAGATAAGTGGCTACTGCAGTCCTGCAGCCAACTATATACTCGTACAACGAAAGCTACAGATAAGTAGTCACGTCTGAGGACTAAAAAGGAAGTCCCGAATTCATAGAAGACAGCTTTTGTCCACCCGATCCCTAAAAAAGGCGACCGCTCAGACCCGTCCAACTATAGGCCTATCGCGATCACCTCCTTGTTCTCTGAAATAATGGAATCCATTATTAACTACCAGCTCATCCGGTACCTTGAGGATAACCAGCTGATTAGTGACCGCCAATACGGTTTTCGTCGGGGTCGATCAGCTGGTGATCTTCTGGTCTACCTGACCCATAGATGGGAGGAGGCAGTAGAGTCCAAGGTAGAGGCGTTAGCCGATAGTCTGGACATTGCAAAGGCCTTCGACCGAGTTCGGCACAAAGCGCTTCTTTCGAAGCTCCCTTTCTATGGGCTTCCCGAGAAATTGTGCAATTGGATCACCAGCTTCCTTGCAGATCGGAGCATCAAGGTTGTTGTAGACGGTGCATGTTCTGACTACAAGCCAAAGACTATTAACGCTGGTGTTCCACAAGGCTGTGTGCTATCACCAACGTTGTTTCTTCTGCATATCAGTGATATGTTGCTAACTGGTAACATTCATTGTTATGCGGATGACAGCACTGGTGATGCTCTATACACTGGCCGTGCCAATATTTATCGGGAAAACGTCGCCGAGTACTGGAACAAACTTGTGTCTGAAGTCGAGTCTTTGCTGAACAAAGTCTCGGATTGGGGGCGACTAAATCTAGTCCAGTTTAATCCTCAGAAGACACAAGTTTGCACGTTTACCGCTTAAAAGAACCCCTTTATCGTATCTCCTCAGTTTCAAGACACTCCCTTTCTTGCCTCAGCCAGTATCGCTATCCTCGGTGTCGACATATCGAGTGACGTGCCGTTTCGTGTTCACTTGGAAGAGAAGGCCAAATTGGCCTCTAAAAAGCTTGGCGTGCTCAGCAGAGCGGGACAGTATTTCATGCCGGCACACCGCCTGCAACTTTACAAGGCGCAGGTTCGGCCTCACATGGAATACTGTTCCCATCTCTGGGCAGGGGCTCCCCAGTGCCAGCTCCTTTCACTTGACCGCATTCAGTGCAGAGCGGTTCGAATCGTCGACGACCGAGTCCTTTCCGATCGGCTCGATTCATTGGCACTGCGAAGAGATGTTGCATCCCTTTGCATTTTCTTTCGCATCTACCATAGTGAGTGCTCTGAGGAAATGTTCGGATTAATAACAGCCGCCAAATTTCACGAACGCACATCGCGGCAGAACTCCCGATACCATCCACACCACCTGAATGATTGGCGGTCTACCACTGTGCAATTTAGAAGATGTTTTCTTCCTCGCACGACTTCCTTGTGGAATCGATTACCATCAGCAAATTTTCCGGACCGA